TTATGCTTCTTATGAAAATATTTTGCTTAACTTTAATGATTTCACAACAACGAAAATATTTTAAGCTCCGTCGGAGGAGGACAATGGAATTTGCGGGCTGAAAATTTGGTTTGGCTGTCTCCGACAGGAGATTCCAGTAGAAGACGACATTTTATAGAGGTTTTAAAATTAATGGTTAACAATCATGCCTACAGAAAGTATATATGAGTTAGCAAACCAATGGCCAAGTGATTTGACACGATCATGAAATTTGATGCATCAGTTTTATAGATGTTTAAACCTATATCTGATTCCCTCCAGTGGAATGTAAATCACCCTGCGTAAAGTTTTGAATTGTTAAAAGCATTTTTTCAAACCCCTCCAGTGAAAAAGAATTCCCTCCGGTGGTCTCCAGTGGAGTCAAAATCTTACTACGAACTTCCGTGACTCAAATTTTACTCTAGGAATTTGAAAATCATTTCTATTTCTAAGATTTGCGGTTTCGATATTTTTTGAGAATGTGAAATCCTTTTTTAAGTATTTTTTCGGTTTTTACTTTACTTAAAGATTGTATTTTTTTCTGTTAAGTTTGAAAGTTTGATGCAATTAACCTAAAAATACATATATTTCATTAATTTCATTTGTATTTTTTCAAAGTTTTTAGGTTTTTATTTTACTTTTACGTATTTTTTTGTTTGTTTTTTTCTTCACTTAAATAATCGTATTTTTGTAGAGTTTATAAGTTTGATAAAAAATACGTTTATTTTTGTAAAATTCAAACCAAATACTTTTTCAAAATGTATAAGTTTTCATTTTACGTATTTTCACATATATTTTCGATTTTTTCTTTATACTTAAAACTTATAATTTTTTAGTTTAAAATTTCATACCTAGTAATTTTTATAATTGTGATACATTCAAGAAACCTGAACTGCACAAAAATGCGTTTTTCAGTTCGAATTTTATATTTTTTGATTTTTCAAGAGAATTAGCTTGTAAGAAATTAAATGCAACTTTTTTGTAAATACAATGTTTTAAAATTTCTTTGTTTGGAGCTTAATTTGATTCTCTTATTAGAATCAATGTCAGTAAATTCTCGATTTTTTGAAAATTAGAAGTAACACTTCAAAAGTGTATGTATGCAGTATAGCGGATTTGGCGTAGGTCGGAAGTGGAGTAAAGCGGATTTGCGTAGGTCGAAAAATTACCACCTTTAATTCGCTTAATTTCTTATTTTCTGAAAAACTAAAATTTTCAAAGACGACTTCTAGAGACACCATTTTCCCATCAACGGATCTTACGAATCAAGGCCAATTTAATTATTTATTATTCATGTTACCAAATAGGTACAACATTCCCTGGGTACAACCATTTGTCGTATCTATCAATTTTAACTTCCCTGGTTAAACGTAACGTGAGACGAGTGAGACTCATGGCTTTATATCCTCTATATGCATCTCATGAATCTGATTGAAATTGCAGCCTTATAAATTGAAGATATATACACAACACAATACGGAAAAAATCATAGCCTCCAGCCCTCCCCCCCAAAAGAAAAAAATTTATTCCTTAAAAAAATATTTTTTTGATTTTAATCATCAATATTTAATTTGAGGACTTTTTATATTTGTTTTGTTTTATTATTTATGAAGTTGAACTGGTAAACGCTTAGCTTCTGTAAACCGACCAAATTCATGAACTAGTCTCATGCCCTCAATCATAAACAACAGCTGATACGACAGAAAGAGAAATTCTGTCTTCTTCATTTTCAAACACGTCACCTTCTAATTATTGAAAAAACGTCGAAATTTGTGTTTTTAATCCAAAAATCGTTCACTAGGACAGACCCTATTTTTATAAGTTTAAACATTAATTTAGTTTTTTACGTTTCAGAAGTGAATAAATTCAAGACCATCGATATAATTTGTTGGATGGATGGCCAGTAAATTAACCAGGGGTCCTTTGGGCCGTCTTCTAACCTTCCTAGTCCCGCCCTGGGCCCGCCTATCTGCTAGAAATCGTGAAAAACATTTAGTTGTTCTTGTCCTTTGTATATTCAGTTTTCTATGCTTTGGCGCAATATGGTTCCTGCCAGAGAAAAATGGTGTCGGCGGTAAAGTTAAAATTGTCAGTGATATAAGGAAAAATGTTCAAGAGGCGGTGGAAGGGATTGTTTTACCGCCCCCGCCGGCGGATAGTTTGATCGGCGGTAATCCAAACATAAAACATGGTGTTATTGATCGGCCGGACCCCCATAAACTAGCAGAATTAGAAAATCTTCATGCTCAGATAGAATTGGACGAAGAAATTGAAAGAATTAGGAAAAAAATATTTTAATTACATTTTGAAAAACTTTATTTACATTTACGCTTTGCCCAGAAATTGACCTAACCTAACCCTGAAATTAAACACAAACAAAATTAACGTGATGGGGAGGGGGGGGGGGTCTAAAAATTTCATTAGGACTGAACCAAAACTCTAATTATACTGATAAGCTATAGGTCGCAAATTGATTTTTTCGAAGTAGGGGAATTTAAATTTGGACGTCAACTTGTACTGGAAAGGTTTTTGCCTCTGTTGATTCTTTATACCCAAATGTTTTTGAAAAAAAAATTATGAATACATTTAAAAATTATTTTTGCTGCTGCAGACTAAACCAGGAGAAGCAAGTTTTAGCCAAACCCAATCTGGACCCTGGAAATAAGGAAACCTACTCCATGTTTAATATTTATAAAGGGACAGGATGCGTCAGCTCGGATTCCCAACGGTCCTCTAAGCTTAATCGATTAATAATTTAGAAGATATATTTTGTTGAGCTTTCAATTCTGACAATTTTCCCAATCCAATGTTTCCTTTGCAGAATTGCGCTGATTTATAATAAGAAATCTCAAATGAAAATCTAATTTTAAGTGAATATGATAAATGTCTCAAGCATGATCACACAAAGTTTTGATTGATACCGTTGTGATTTTGACTTTCCACTTTAAAAGTAGAGAGTAACCTGAAATAACATCACAGTCCCTTTAATCTGAAAACTAATTCAAAAATGAGCAAGATCCTCCAATGTTTAAGCCCTATGTAGCAGTAATCCGCAAATAAATTCTGTACAGTTTAAAATTATTTCATATTTTTAATTAAAACATGGATATCTTGGTTATTCTTGGTTATACAAAGCTTCTAAAGGTATTGTTGTGTACCTAACTTGCTAATTTATGAAAGGTTCACTTGAAAATACGCCTACAGTCCCTTTAAGAAACATACGGAACTAATTTTAAGCTTCGTTTTTTACTGACTCTTTGTTTGTTTGAGGTTTAATTTTTTTATTTATCTAAAGACAAAGTTTAAGGATGATGGACATTGGACCAAGGTTGAGTTAAATTTCATACATACATTTGTGGCTGCAGCGCGTGGCCCTAGTAGGTGATAGGGAAGGGGGGGGGGGAGGGCTTCTATTTGCAGATTGAGGCGACAGATTTAATTATATTTATTGTATCAAAAACATCTGTTACATGATTACATCCTGCTTTTTTAACCTTTACTTAATTAGGTCCAATTAGTTATGTCCTTACTCGTTTTTCTAGAAATCAAATCCGCTATTTCTGGCTTTTTAAATATTACTTTGTATCAATGAAGTCAAATCTTATGTATACTTGTCCTCATTGTTTAAATCTTAAGGGCATACCATTTTGAAGAATGGTTTTTGAAGCTATGAGAAAAAATGAAATAATGGATTTTAATGAGCGAGTTTTTTTCTCCTTGATAAAATGCAACCCCGAATTCATTAATTTCCCCGGTTAGGCTAAATCATAACGAAAAATAATTGGGTGCAAACTTTTTAAAACAGTTAAGAAAGCGTTTAATAAGGGAGGTAATGATATCTCATAGTGATAAAATCCAATCATGTTATTGTATTAATGTAGTTTTTATAAATATTTTGAACTTAAAAACATGAGTTTGGGTTAAAGGTCCTCGAGAAGAGCAGCGAAAAGGGAATAGAGTTAAAGAACGACTTCGCAAAACCCGAAATAAAGGGTGAGGTCGCGAAAGCTGACCTTGAACCTGTATCCTCTGGTAAGTTGAGAACACGATTCTCTAAGTTTTAAGTATTTTTATAAATTCTTTCTAAATACTTGGAGATTAAGAATGATATATTGTTGTTATTAAACTATTGTGTACTTTATCATTCTTACTCACTTCATCGTGAATTTCGTAATGAACGTGCAATAAAGTAATCATCTTTCTATAAAGTTTTTAGACTAAAATTTTCTAAAAGGACCTCGCCTTTTTAGATTATATTTTGTCCCTCTCTAAAGCTCGGGAAAATAAAATTCAAAGAGACAGAAAATTTCTATCCAAAAAGTTGAATAACACTGCGAACCAAAATAACAGTGTTATAATAGTTAATATTATTCCTCCAAATTGTTGTTAGTCTAGTTCCCGATTCTCATTAATTTTTAATCAAACATTCTGTAAATTATTCAAAACTATTTATTCTAAGAACTAATCATCCATATCGATATCAAATATACACCTGACATTCAAAAGTTTTGTGTTGTATCCAATATATTTCGAAACGTTTGAACCAATCGAGTCCAATTTTTTTTGTTGGTCTCGCATGATCTAATGGTAACGCGAAAAATTACAATTTTTTCCAACAAACATTACATTTTTTTAGAACACCAATGAAAACATAAAATTAAAGCTTGTTTCAAATTGGAAAAAGCAAGTGCCATTGAAAAGTTCAATAAAAAATATTTTTGTTTAGATAAGTCCCCGAAGATTCAAGGTGGAGTAGATTCAGATTCAGTTGCCAGGGAGCGAAGGGATTTTGTGAAAAAGGTATCGTGTATAACCATTAAATTTCTTGCTCCTTAGATCCGCATATTATCACAAAACATAATTTAATTCTTATATTTTTCCAAGTATTTTCAATACAAATATGAAAAATCGTCCTTTTCTAAAACAGTTTTATTTAGAATTAATTTTTGCTAAGGACGAATTATTTTCTTTGGAAATTGTTCATGTATTTTGGGAGAACTTTTTAATATAAAATGCATTTTACATATTATATATTCATTTCAAATCTTAAATGTCCCCCTAGCACTAAAATATTACCACTATTTACATAAAAGGCAAGATAAGAGAATTTTTATTCTGAATCTTCCTTTTGTTTGCATTTGAATAATATTTTTTTTCAATATTAATGAATATTCAGAATATATTCACTTTTATTTACAATAATTAAGAATCTAATACGGGGTTTAATGTAATTTCGAGTTGAGTAGGATAAAATGGCCTGAAATTACAGGGGTCCATATAATTCCATCTGATCAATACCAAATGTTGATTGATTGATATTAGGGGCAGAAATAAACCATGTTGTTTTTTAAAACAATTTGAAGTATAATGTCAAGTTGTAGAAAAAATTCCATACTGCAGAATGTTTACTGCAAGAGAGTGTTTATTTTTCTGTAAATCATAATTTATCTCTTATATTAAATACTAATATTTACATCTTTTAACACCCCAAATGCAGTACACACTACACATTTCTGAAGTGTAGTACTTGTACATAAAAACTTGTCTAAGTTCACAATGACATAAAGTTTACTTTCATGCCCCTAAAGGTACTTTCAACCCCGATCCCATTTGGGATCAGAAATGGAAATATTTGGACCCCTGTCAGAAAACGGTTCCGGAATAAAGCAATTATCTCCATCTCCTGCAGTTCTTTATTTACATATAATTCCTCTTTAATGTCCCGTGAAGGTCTTACTCTGCAAAAACAAAATTTTAATTGAGGGATCTGACCACATTGAATATCGAAATTTAGCGTTTAAGATCAACAATATCCCTGGAAACCATGCCTGTTTCAGGATTTTACTATTACTTTTTCGAAGATTTCCACTTGCTGCAAACTAATATTGATATTGTTTTAGATGATGGAGCATGCCTGGACCAACTATGTCGAGTTTGCCTGGGGTAAAAACGAGCTGAGGCCGGTTAGTAAACGAGGTCACACGGCCTCAATATTCGGCTCCAGCAGTATGGGGGCCACCATCGTGGACGCCCTGGATACCCTCTACATCATGGGGATGGAGGAGGAGTTTGAGCGAGGACGGAATTGGGTCAAAGAAAACCTGGATATGAGTAAAATGGTAAGTTTCAAATTTTCCTTAGGATATGATACTTTTACTGTAGGTTCATTGTTACTGATAATATCAATAAAGTATGGTTAGGAATGCCAGTACAACGTGTTTTCTAGTTTTTTTGTATTATTGAATTCAGGGTTAATTTTTAAAAACTTTCAATAAGTTCTATACAAAGTTGTTATTTTTGTTCAGATTTTTTAGTCATTTATTTTTATTTCAGCGAATCAAACTGTTTATATTTCAAGAAAATCCTTTTTTAATGGTTTGAAATAATATTATTCTGTTTTATTCTATTCTAATCTATTTTATTCTATTTTATTTTATCCTTATCTATTTTCTTCTATTCTATTTTATTTTTATCTATTTTCTTCTTTTCATTTTCTTCTTTTCTATTTTCTTCTATTCTATTTTCTTCTATACAATTTTCTTCTGTTCTGCTCTATTCTACTTTATTCTAAAGTAGAGAGAGATGTAAGTATGTTTGAGACGAATATTAGATCTATTCTATTGTATTCCATTGAATTCTATTCTATTCTATTTTATTCTATTGTAGAGTGGAGATGTAAGTGTATTTGAGACGAATATCAGATCTATTGTATTCTATTCTATTCTATTCTATTCTATTCTATTGTAGAGTGGAGATGTAAGTGTATTTGAGACGAATATCAGATATTATCTATTCTATTGTATTGTATTCTATTCTATTTTATTCTATTGTAGAGTGGAGATGTAAGTGTATTTGAGACAAATATCAGATATGTTGGTGGTCTTCTCACAGCATACTCTTTTACGGGGGATACGCTATTCAAGGAACAAACAGATATATCAATCAATGAATTACACAATCGATCAATCAAATATTCAATAAATCAGCCATAAATTCAATCAATTATCCAATCTAAATATTTAATCAATATTCAATTAATCAATCAAAAATACAATAAATGTATCAATCAAATATTCTGTTAATTGACCAACTAAAATATTCCATCTATATTCAATGAATTAATCACTTTTATAATTTAACCAGTATTTAATTCAATCTTCAATTAACTAATCAATAAGTCAACATTGAACTAATCATCGACATTCAAGCAATTAACTACCTTAAATTTACGATCTGTCCATCTTCAATAAATTAATAAAAATCATTCTTCTATAAATTAACTAACTTAAATACTCATTACTCAATCAGTTAATCAATCAACCAACCAATTACTTAAAGTATTCATTAATCAATTAATCATAATCTTAAATACTCAATCTGTCACTGAATCAATAAACCAATCAATAAAAATTTAAACAAATAATTTATCAATCAATGGATTATTCATATAAACGACCAATCAAGTAATTTAATAATCAGATAAATCAATCAATCAATCAAATGATCGTCCTGTAAATTTATAAAATAATTAGCCGACCAATCGGATTAATAATCATCAGTCAAACAAATGTTTTAATAATCATTTAATAAATGAAGAAAAAATGGTTATATTATTTGTATGGAATTATAGGATAAAGCTGCACATATTGTTGATAAACTGCTTCCCGCCTTCAATACCCCTACAGGTATATATCAGTGCTTAGGTTCAAAAATAACAAACAATCAAAGACAGAAAGCATAAACTAAAATGTACTAAATGTACTTAAATGTACTAAAATGTACTAAAATGTACTTAAATGTACTAAAATGTACTAAATGTACTTAAATGTACTAAAATGTACTAAACAAGTACGAACAAACATTTATAATTTTTTTGTAACGAATCAAGGATCCGAATCCGAATGTAGTGTGTTTGTTCACTGTACACTTGATTTGTACACCCGTGCACTGTACATTGTGTACTGTACTCCTTAATTTGTATTGTAAGTATACTGTACAGTGGACACTGCAGTGAACAATTTAAATACAATAACACCTTCAAAAACGTTTAGATTTTTCAATTTACTGGTCGGCTTGGTTTCACAATTAACTGTTGTTATAAAATTGTTTGTTGAATATTCTGTGAAAAACAAAATCAGTTTTTTTTATTCTAAGCCATCTGCTGACCTCGATATCTACAGGAAAAATTTTAAATATAAAAATTCCGAGAATATATGAGAAGTCTTTTAAAAGAAAGTTGGGTAATTATGCAACAAAGGGCATTGCTGTGTGTGACGACGCAAATTAAACCCCCCAGCGGGAATTGGAATCGACCGAGTTGGGACCCTTTCATCCATTCTTTTTGCAAACATATGACGTCTCTGAATGTGGCCGTCCTTTGTACGGTGAAACAAGACCCCTATCGGCGAAATCAAGTTGAAAGCATAGCAAATTAGCTGACACCTATACTTCGGGTGACATCTAGCGGCCAAACACTAGATCAGACTCAGGACAATTCGGGTTCTGAGCACGTTCTGAACAGAATATACCCAAGTTTTGACCTCTGATTTATTTGTTAGGCATTCCCTATGCTCTAGTCAATATGCAGTCAGGATCCTCCAAGAACTTTGGTTGGGCCAGTGGAGGTTCCAGTATCCTTTCAGGTACATAATGTATATTTTTTCTGGGTTTATTTTTAAGAATTACAAACCCCCTAGGGGGGGAATAATGAATTTGACGGCACAAGACAAGTTTTTCTTATTGATTTTTTTGATAGTTTCTACGCTAAATTTTTGTTTTCCCGTGATTCAGAGAATCGTTTCAAAAATATTTCGCTCCACACAAACATACTTATTACTTAACATCTGGTGAGAAAAAGAACTTGATTGTTTTGGAATAAATAAGAAGCTTTTCATTCCCTGGTTACATAAAACGGTTAATGGTCTCAAAATTGAAACACATAATTTGAAAATGTGTTGCATGTTTATTATTTAATGCACAACAGTACATTTAAAACCTTTTTTCGGATGAAAAATTAATGATATATTATTATTTGTCTGGCTTGAAATTGAAAATTTTCCATTCTGGTTTCTCGATAAAAGTGACTTGCGGACTTTAGCCAGTTGAAGTAAATTTTTGATTCATTGATTTATGAATTAATCAACTTATAATTTTAGAGTTTGGAACCCTTCACATGGAGTTCAGCTACTTGTCTGATATCACCGGGAACCCCGTGTACAAGGAGAAGGTTGAGAAGATTAGAGATTTCATCAGCAAAACTGAAAGGTATGCATTCGGGTTTACATGGGTGTATTTTTATTGGAAAATTATTAAACCTCAACCCACCTTAAAAATTAATTTTTGTTCCCGAGTTGAAGTAATGTTTATTTTCTCGGAATTGAGGAAAAAAGGATTTTTTTGTATTAGGTATAAAAAATGGAGGCCGCCTGCCAGCCAAATAGCATTTTTTTTACAAGATTTTTAAACATAATTTGAAATTTAGATTGCTTATGATTATGAGGAAGATTAAAAAATGTATTCATTGTATTCATGCAGCAGAGACAAAGAAGAAATTGTCATAATGTTGCACTTTTCCATAAAACGACGACATCTTTCTTATTAGTGCTCATGCTAGATGTATTAGGATATTGTTGTGAATCGTGCATGCAACTCTTTATATGAAGGTCACTTTAAATTACTTCGTTGGTCCTTTTATAAAATATCATAAACAGTGTACACTGTATTCAAACTATATGTTATGAATCCTAGACCTGCTATAACTATTTGTATCCTAGGCCTGCTAAACTGTATCTTAACTACTATTTGTATCCTAGACCTGCTAAACTGTACTCTTAACAATTTATAATCCTAGGCTTGCTAAACTGTATCTTTGCTATATATATATATCCTAGACCTGCTTAACTGTATCCTAACTATATGTATCCTAGACCTGCTAAACTGTATTCTAACAATATATAATCCTAGGCTTGCTAAACTGTATCCTTACTATATATATATATCCTAGACCTGCTAAACTTATTTATACCCCTGGCTAAAATTTCTTCATTTTGCCATTTCCTCTCTCTCATTTCCTCTCTGAATACTGTTAGAAGCGCCCATCAAGACCCAGTTGTTACTTCTCTGAAAGCTAAATGTATACTGGATTTTGTGCTCTAGGAAATGTCATTTTTGAAGTGTCTTTCTGTGAAATGTCCTAACACCATTCTTTTCATTGTTCCATTTATATTTTTAGTGTACTTTTGTAAGAAAAATAAGAATAAAATGAATTAAAATTAACTTGAATTTCTAGGAATGGTTGAGGTCTGGGAAGCGAGATTCTCAAGCAAAGACGATGTTTGATGAAGCTGCAAAGGAATATATTTTCAATTTTGTGAATAGCCTCTTAATATTTAAAATAGATATGAGCTGACTGGGGGTGTTTTGCCTGAACGAATTGCACTTTGATTATGGTTTAATTTTGAACGTTTAATATTTTATACACTTTACAGGATTAAACACAAATGAGAATTCCACGGCAAACGGAAAATCCAAAGTTATAAGAATGTAATGGATAAATTGGTCTTATGCCTTTAAAACACTTTTCAAAGGGTCATTTGGAAAAAAATAAAGAATTTGAAAATAGTTGGAGCCTTGAATTAATTTTATATTCCGTGCAGTCGTCTCTTGTATTCGCATTCTTTGCGGGTAACTCAGTACTTCGCTCATATACCTCATCACTCAAATTTTTCTAATATTGTATGTTTGTCAATTTTTAGAAATATATTCGTACTGCAGGATATAGAGGAGATATTGTTACAAACTTCAGCTCATGGTTTAACCTATTTTGCTGAGATGAAATATGGTCGCATGGAACACAAGGAATATAATTCATCTATGTGGTTTGCTCCTGCATATCAATCTTTAACAATGGTTTATTAATTTAGAAAATATGAACTTGAGGGAAATTGAAAATTAAACATCAAAAGGCAAGTTGTTTTCCTTCTTTATGATTTTTTATCTCCGGCCTCGTTGGATAAAAATTGCCCAACTTTTTTATATTTACTCTCAATGACCCCCAGAATACACTAAAAAATCCTCACGTTTTTAAAGTCAAAACAGGGTATCAAACATTGCGTTTTTTTGATGTTTTTTTAAATGCAAAAAGTGGTAAGTTCTGATAAAAAAATCGGAGTAAAAAAGAGAATATTATTTATACTATTATATCTAACACATGAAAAAATTTAATTTGTCCAAGAAAAAGAATATTAACACCCAGTAGCCCACGAAAAATTATTTTTTTGAAATTTATAAAAATCGGAGCCGACAAAGGACATTTTACAGAGGTTTCAAGTCTCCGAAAAGAGATATCGACAATCTGACTTCATATCCTGCTCTAAGGCAAAAATATAACATTAATTTTTAAATTAGAACCAGAAACCGTCTTTATAATGGAGGAAAATGCAAAAAAGTGATTTGTCAAAAAAAAACTAAACACCCCGTGGCCCGGAGCCCTCCAAAAAATAATTTTTTTAATTTTTTTTCATCAATATGTCAGATAATAATTTAAACAATATTTTCTGGTATTTTACTCCTATATTTTTGATCGAACTTGTCACTTTTTGCATTTAAAAAAAAATTTTAAAATGCAATCTATTTTTGATACCCTGTTTTGACATCAAAAACTTGAGGAACTTTTTTCTTTGTTTTGTTAGTGTAAAATGGGGGGCATTTGGAGTATATATTAAAAAATTGGACTATTTATGTCCAACGAGGCCGGAGATAAAAAATCTGAGCCGACGGAGGTCACCTTTCAGAGGTTCCAAGACTCCAGAAAGAGATATCGACATTCGGACTTTATATCCTGCTCCTAGACATTAATATGACAATAATTTTCAAATTAGAACCGGCCACTATCTATATTAGGGAGGAAAATGGCAAAAAAATGTGATTTGTAAAAAAACCGTAGCCCCCTCAAAAAAATAATTTTTTTGAATTTTTTTTGAATTTTTATTCGATAATAATTATGTTAATATTTTCTCTTTTCTTTGGCTCCTATATTTTTGATCAGACTTGTAACTTTTTGCATTTAAAAAAAAAAACAAAACGTAGTTTTTGACACCCTGTTTTGACATCAAAAACTTAAGGAATTTTTTTCTTTGTTTTTTTTTTAGTGTAATCTAGGGGTCATTGAGAGTATGTATTAAATAATTGGGCTATTTATGTCCAACGAGGCCGGAGATAAAAAATCGGCGCCGACGGAGATCACTTTCCAGAGGTTCCAAGACTCCGGAAAGAGATCGACAGTCTGACTTCATATCCAGCTCCTAGGCAATTATATGAGTCTACATTCTAAAATAGAACCGGCTGCTATTAATATTTACAGACAAAAGGTCTTACTTGTTACGGGTTCTTTTTTATATTCAAAATTTAGTTGACTTATGGGAGATTGGTAAAATTTTCTCTCAATGGTCATTGATAATGATGAATCGGGTTTCGGAAAGAAATGTTTGAATATATACCAAATACTTATGAGCTGGAGCCATTTTTAAATGCCGGATCCGGGTCCAAATTAAAAGGATCCTAAGGAAACATAAAGCAGATGGATTATGCGCCGGACTAGATGGATCACCTGGCCTGTTTTATCGGAGGTATGTACGGTCTGGCTGCGAAGGAGGAGAAGGATGATAATTCTAAACGCTGGATGGAGATTGCTGAAGGGATAACTAACACCTGCCATGAATCTTACGATAGGTCGGATACCAAACTTGGACCAGAAGCTTTCAGGTGAGTGAGCCTTCATTCTTATCAGAGGCTTTTTTTTTCNCCCCCCGCCCACTCGACAAATTCCAGAATACGCCCCTTATTCTTATTCTTATTGAAATTATTTTTTAAGAACCCGAATACCGAAGAAAAATTTCATTCTTTGACTTATAAAATATCGCTATGGAAAATATCGCTTTGGATTATTCATTAATACACAATACATGTCTTACATCATAGTTCATAAAAATAGTATATGAATACACAATGATGCAACTGAACAATCTCTAAAAATTTCAATTTTCAATTTTAAAAAATAGTTCACTTCAAAATTCCTGGCGACATGTTATTGTTAAAAGATATAAGAAAACAACAAAAAATTGTTATATTTGGCCATGGTCCCATTTAGAAAAAATTATAGGTAAAAATGTTCTAATATGCCTGGAAAATCAACCATAACTTCTTAATAAAATTCTGTCCATTTTGATGAACAAACACATGCCATTTTGATGAACAAATGTTATTAATTATTTGTCTAAATAATAAATAAAAAGCGAAACATTTGAATTGTCAAATTTTACTTTACAGCTTACCCAATAAATTGGAAACTGTTGGAACCCTGAGTCCGAATTTAATGAATTTGAGCCGCAACTCAAATCCGCAAAAAACGGTTTCAATTGAGCGCTGGCTTAAATCTGGAAACATTGATTACAAGTTTAAGTGGAACCAACCATATTCGAGCCGCGTCTGAAATTTAAGCCGCGGCTCAAATTCTTTAAATTCTGCCTCTGATTATGTTTTCTGTAGAAATTGACAAACCGAATTGAACCAAATCTGAGAAGAAGGCTGATAAGGAATAATTTCCAAATTATCAAAATATATTTGTTATTTTTAGGTTTTCAGATGGCATCGAGGCAAGAGCATTGAAACAAAACGAGAGGTATTGAACTGCTTTATTAATCTGTATCCCCCCCTCCCCAAAAAAAAGGATATGATTTTGTCGGATAAAAAAAATATCAGAAAAAGAATAAACTTGCCAATTTTTCTTTCTTCGCGAATCTTGCGATTAAACGTTAACCCTATCTCTACTGGGGTACTTGAAAACCAGGATATGCTTGGGGGTAGCCTCAGACCAATACTTTTTGAGCTATGTAAAAAAAACTACAGGGGGGGGGGTCAACTTGACCCCCCCCAGCAGGAATAGGGTTAAAGGGTAATTATTTCCGTCTTTTTTAAACCAAAGAATTCAATTATGTCCCCCGGCCTCAAAGCCGCTATAAAAGCCACTAAATATCTTCTACCTCAAGCTGTGGAAATGATTTTGAAGCGGGGAAAGGGGATTTATGTTACTTCTTTATTGACCCTATCTAATGGTATTATAGGAGAATGCAGATTGCAGGTTATTTTGGATGATAAACTTTATGATAGACTGTTCCTTTTTTCTCTGACTTTTAACATTCTCTTTGTTTCTAGATTTTAAGGGAAATTTTTCGATTTAAAAAAAAATTAATTTTTAAATTTTTAAAAAGTTTTCTTTCTTTTTTTCGTTGCACATTAAAAGTATATTTATTGTATATAGACCTGTATGTTGTTAAGGTACTACATCTTGCGACCTGAAACCTTTGAATCCTATTTCTTGATGTGGAGACTAACCAAAAACCAGAAATACAGGGATTGGGGCTGGGAGGCAGTGCAAGCTATAGGTAAGCCAGCCTGACCAGGCAAGCCTTAAAGGGACTGTTCAACTATTGGGAAAACATATACGGTTACCAACAAAGAATGAGACGACTTAACGAAATTCTTGCATTAATGCTTCCATGCAACTGTTAAAGGGAGTGACCGGCTTTGTAAGGTAGTTGAACTGAGTATGCAGTGTTGTGGAAAACTTCTTTCGGACTCATTTGAGACATATAAAACTTTAAAAAGATCTGTCAATCCTGAGTTTGAGCGCAAATTCGACGTTCAAAACTCCTACTTTGGGGGTGGATACGTTTTCAGAATTAGTTTTTTAATTATAAAATAACGACGACAAAAATGTTAACAAACCTTTTCAGTAAACTAATTAGTTGTTTCGGAACCGGTTAAGAAAATAAAAATTAATCTTATCATCGAAAATAAGTAATTTTGTTCAATTATTAGTTTCTATTTTCTCTGTATTCTAGTTCTCATTATTCGCAAACATTTTCTGCAGATTTTAGCATTGATTTAATGACAAATTTCTTTGAGAAATATGTTCCCAACCATCTAATCTGCAACTGCTGGAACAATCCTTATTATTATCTTCGTAATTTCGATTTACGAACAGCAATATGATATTATACACAGTAAGGAATATTCCTAACTTTCTGTGTCGAATTCGAACATGATGTTCTCTCATAAAATTCTACGTTACTCGAAATTACGAACGAATTGTTATGGTTTTCTTCAACAGTAAATAATCTTGGTCCAAGATCAATAGGGGTGAGAATTGTAAGGCATGTTTGTAAAATACAGTTTTCACAAAAATAAAAAGTGGGTTCCTCAAATGGGGTTTAATGATCAAATTTGTGGAAATATTGAGTGATCTTGATGAAAATGAAATATTTTAAACTCGTATTAATATGGATATCCATTGAACCAGAGTTCAAAACAGTTTACAGAATTGAAAAATATTGAATATTGTGCAAGTTATTGTCAAAAATCGTTTTTTATCATAACTGTAAATTGGTTTGAATTCGGAAAATATACCCAATTTAATAAGTTTTTCAAAACTTTCATTTTGACTTACACTAGAGATTTTTTCTCACATTTTTATCATTAAACCCCAATTGAGACAGCAATTTGTGATATTTGTGAAAAATTTCATTTAAAAACATGTCTTAGTATTCTTAGTAAAATACTTTTTTACTTCTGTTAAATTGTTTCAGAAAAATTTCACACCCTTATCGATCATTTTTTGATTGGTAGCAGCACTGTCAGCATCAATGTCAAAGGTGTAGTCCAAGAAAGAAATCGTGATTTTTTCTCTATTGGCTGGCGCCGTTTTTCCGGAATCCCCCGGCTCCGAATTTCGGTCTATATCGGAAAAAATTATGAAATTTATGATGGGTAACTTTAAAGGCTCCAAATGATCTGATTTGAGACGGCTCAAACCCTGGTGTGTATAATTGCAGGGTCACTAGTCCTATCAGCATCTGAAATAGTTTATATTATAAAAAAATTACTAGATTATATTCAATGCAGAAATCGGCGACTTTAAGTGACAATCAAAATTGGATTTAATTTATGCTTAAAACCATAAATAATGGCTCTCTGATGATATTAATAAATACAAAAGTTGCGATGTCTAGTCATTTAAATAAACTATGCATCAAAAATTAAATTTTGAGAGAGAAACTTTTGAAACGTGTTTGATTTCAATACTTAATTTTATCGAAAACATTTCATTAAAGGCCGGAAAATATCTAAAATATCAAAATTATGCTTTATCTTTCAAAAGTATATCTTTGTGATTTTTCCTTTTAACTGATATTAATATTTTTTTTTATAAAGTTATATTTACATTTGCCAGAAGAATAAACAGAAATAGTCTCATGATTCTATGGTTCAGCCACCTTTGATGTCTATACGCTACTGTCCATTTTACACGTTGAGCTGGGTTGGGGTTGGAGGAGGGGGAGAGATTACCCCCCCACCTTTTTTAATTAATCGTGTGTAAGCCTGTATTGAAACTAAAGCGGTCAACTTAATTAAAGTGTGATCAAAGATACCGCTCAAATAATTCGGTATTTATTGACCATAGGTTTCTGTAGTATACTTTCAATCTATGCTACATTATATCCAATCCAGATATCTAACTATCTATTAAGATAATTTATGCTTAGGTTTATCTTTCTTTTTGTTTAGTTTTTTTTGGCTGTAGGTTAGATAACGGTTAAAAGTCTAAAAGTTAGATATTTTGTTGAGTCTAACAGAAGATTTAAGCCTGAACGATTTTTCAAATTTTTCATTCACAAACTATTCGGTTTCTTTAAAGGTACAGATTCAAACTTGTGGAGAATAAAACTTTTAAGTTTTCAATGTAGATTTTTTGAGATCGCCATAACAGCCGAAATTATTATAAAAAAGCGAATTAAATGTTTGTTTTTGTTTAGAAAATAGTTGCCGAACAGATGCAGGATATTCAGGGATAAAAAATGTTTATCAGGTAGGATAATGTCATTTTTTAATTTGAACCTGAAGCTCATTTCGAAGTTTTCCATATTCCAGGATAATGCATATTTTCTTCTCTTCAGTATAAGGGCTATTGGACCTATCAATTCTGAGTGGAGCCATTTTTATCAACCAAAATATGAAATCTCCTTTCAAGCTAGTTAATTTACCGGATTTTTTAACCTGTTTTTGCGCATTTTTCAATAAAATGTTAGCAAATCAAAAATATCAGTTATAGAGAAACACCTTGCATGTTTATACATTTTAGGAAAAACTAATCTAATTGATTTTATTTTCCTCCTTTACTTGGGATAAAAATTATTCAAATGTTGAAATATTTTAGACGTCAAGAACAAATTATATTCAACATTTTTAGTCATCGTTTTCATTTCTCCTTGTTTGACAGGACAGTAATATTCACATACATTTTCTAGAAAAACGTTTTACGTAAACTTTTTGATCCCATCATATTTGTAGAATTCAAAGAGATAACGAGATAAATGTTTCAAGAGAACCATTATAAATTAATTTTGCAACTCTTTTCCATCATTGAAAATTTATTTAAGATATCGTTGCCATTTTTAAAAAAGAAACGTATACATTTTTGTACTAACGTAAAAATTGTGAATATAATATTAGAACTTTGTTACAAATTTTTTTATCCTTGACAATCTTTTCACTTTTTCGAACAAAAAGTTTGTTATTTTGAAATACTTTCGTTAGCTCGATTTTGCGACTAAAATGGCAGGGTTTCATTAACATTCAACAGGTCTAGATTTAACGAATAAAGATTTAAACTACGAAGAGGTAATTAAACCAATTTATTCTTGTGGAACGATTCAAGAAGTGGTTCAACTAAGTTGACATAGATTAACTACATGTCTATATTTATTATTATTATTATATATTGTTGTATAGCAGGACGTAATTGAATTTTTCTTGTGGATCAGTTCATGTTAAAGAGAAGTGGTTTAACTAATTCTATACATGATCAGCAATTCTTCTATTTGACAAAATACTTGAAATATCTTTATCTTTAAGGTTGGAGGTCAGCAGGACGATGTTCAGCAATCCTTCTTTTTGGCGGAAACCTTGAAATATCTTTATCTACTTTTCAGTGACGATTCTCTTATAGATTTAGACCAGTGGGTCTTCAATACAGAGGTAAATAAAATTAACTAGGCTTTTAAGATTCTCAACAGTACATTTTAAAGCTTTGATTGGTCACCAAAATAAAACATTTGCCTTCTATAGAGATGGGCATCGTTTTTTTAACGAATGAAATTTTTCGTGAAAATTGTTTTCAGAAATAAAACGAACAGTGGACAAACGAAATGTATCGTGAAACTCAGAGAAAAGAAAAAATGATCTTTTTTAAAACCAACGATTTGAAATCGTTTGAACGAACTTGAAAAAAAAACTTTGCTTTTTTACTGAACGAACGATTTTTTAAAAGAGTTGAAAAAAACTTGAAAAAAACTATTGAACAAACAATTTTTAAAAATCTTTTTAATTTGATAGTTTTTACTGAACGAATGATTTTATTGAATGAAAGATTTTACTTAACGATTGTTCAGTGAGAAAACGAACGAAATAGATGAAATATCAACGACCAATTTGAGACCGAACAAAATCAATATTTTGGAACGATTGAAAAATAATCTTACGAAATAGGTCGTTCACGAACGATGAACAAACGAAATGAAAAAGTCTAATGTACCCATCTCTACTTCTGCATAGTATAGAAATAATGCAGTGTGTCTCTAATTATAGGTTTCGAAACGAGGAATCGTCATTTAACGAAATTTTAGACAATTATAAAAAAAATGGGCTTTGACGGTCACTTCAGTGCTTAATAAAAGAAAGAAGTTATGTTGTTTATATTGACCAATGCCCATTGAAAACCTGGCCCACCAGATTAATTTTCACTCATGAGGATTTTTATTTTTTTTGTGATTTTTATATTGTCTAAACTATAAATCTTCATGTAATAAAGATTTTATTTGATTTGATTTTCTCTTTTTCAGGCTCATCCTTTACCGGTCCGTGGTGTGAATTCATTCTACAGATCTCATCTTTAATTTGTAATTCTTCAGGTAAATCTATATAATAAAACAAGACATTCGTATATATATATATATATATGTTGCCTGTTGCCGACCAAACGGTTGGACCGATTGGGCTGAAATTTTGTGGACACTCATGGGTAGCCGGGGGGGTTGTTAAAGGCTAAAAAAAATATTTTTTACATCTTTTTTTCACGGGGCAAAGCCGGGCCCTTCAGCTAGTATAGTGCTAAGATGTAATGCAAAGAAAGTTATTTCAGAAGTGTATGCATCTGTTGTACTGCAGTGTACTGTCTCTGGGCGGTAATGTAAACACAAGACGGATGTTACCGCCTAACATTGGATCCATTTTTCACATAAAAAAATCAATGAAATATTCTGTTTGTAAGAAACTATTATGTGAATTATCAAAATTATTAAATATAATGCTTTTAACCTCCTCGGATACTAAACGACCACTGATGCCTCTATTCTTGTTTACAAATTCCGCACAGAGAGAACTGGTTTCAATATGTACGTAGAGTATACACGACCGCAATTAACTTTCCTTGCATTACACCCTTGGTATAGTGTATAGATAAAGCAACGCTTTAGAATCACAGATTAAATATTTATGAAGACATGGTAGAAAGTTTGAGGTCTTGTGACTGGTTCCTTAGATATTGAAAACCAAGTAGGGATAGCAAATTTAGAAATTAGAGGAAGTTCTTGTTTTTTGTAGTAATGGAGAACCCAATTCTAATTTTTTATCTCAATGCATTTTTTTAAATACACAATAATGATTTTAAAATAAAGTTATTTACAATATTTGTTTGCTTTCTAGGAATTGAATCCTGTAAACACAAGATCTAGTTCAACTCTGCAGTACACTTCGCAGACACGAGATTTAGACTACAAAAACAAGTCTGGCCAACAAAAACAAGTTTAGACTGCTAAATTAGTTTTATACAGAACTGAAAGATAATTAATTATGCGTGAGAACCTAGAATCTGGATTATGTTTAATTTGACAAAATGAGGATACAATTGATATCAGCTGATCTTTGATTTACCTCATGCTTTTGATAAAATGATTCAAATGACCTTGATTTAGTAGGATTTATCTAATGCGTTGTTACGGAAAGATGATTCAGATGCTCTGCATTTAGCTAAGTTGAATCTTTGATTCGGAATAAATTCTTGCACTTGATCCTAAATCTAGGTTTGAACTATTTGGAATTCAAAATTTTAAATGTATACTTAATAGAAGTTTTATTTTCTACTTAAGGGAGCTGTCGAACTATTTTCAAGTAATCCTTAGTTTAATGAGTTACATTCCTGATTCACAACAGTACAACCTTTAACCCGACTCGCCTCTGTCTGGATTTAAAAAAGTTAAGACATACTTGTTGATGCAAAGCAAACTCCTATGCCCCTTCAGTTATTGTTATTTGGCGGTACAGTCCAAAGAAGGACTGCAATGGTTGGCCCAGTTCGGATATTTAAATGTACACCGGTCCCTATAGTTTCAGTAGAAGTAAATATTTCCATTTACTGACAGCGCCGATTAAAGTATTCACATTTCTATAATTTGATAATGAGGTAGATAGAAAGATAGATGTTACCGCCATACTATTTCTATTGGTTCAGAATAGACAACAAACTCAAGACTGAACCCTGCAGATTGGATCAGGCGATAATGGACTCGGCATACAGGAGTTCGGTAGGGCGTGAAAGGAAATAAACTCTTTTTAAGGTGAAAAATAGCGATATCTTCCTCATTTCTGCACAGGCAAAGGTTGTGAACTTGACATGCCATTGTTTAATATGGAAGGATCACTTGAAATTACGTGAACGGTCCCTTTAGTCGAATTTTATTTTCTGACTTGTGTGTGATATATTAATGTAAAGGGGACAAACATGGCACTCATGTTCAACACATTCAAGGGTAGAAATACAGAAATAAATGCTTTAGGTTTTGGGACAGGTGGGGGGTCGGGTCGTTTTTTAACTTTAACAACCCCCTTATTCGAGCCTAGGAAACAGATTATTAGATCTATGTGCAAACCCCTTAAACTTTTTAATGTCATCTTCTTAATCTGTAATTATAAAAATATCACTTTTTTCTGTTTTCAATCAAACAACAAACTAACATGCAGTGAACAAAATTAAAATCCTTACCCCCACCCACCCGACCTTCACTGTTAGCTTAAAAATGTTTTTTTTTGTTTTAAAAAAAAATTCGTCTCTACCTTTATGTTGTTGTCGTTTTAAAGCTCAAAAAATGTCCCGGCTTTGTTATTGTGCGTCTCAATGTATTTATGCTATTTATATATATTATATAAATTCTAAATTTTTATATATTTTAAGTTAGAAATTTATTTTTCAATTATGTAGGTGTCGCACTCTATTGGAAGAACTCTTAACATTTCGCTCGTCATATGGAACTAGAACTTTATGAAAGTGTTTCGAACCAATTGACATTTTTTTAATATAAATTTGTAATTTTGAAATTTAATTTAGATATTTCGAACGAAATTTTAGGATTTCTTCAAACTTTGCGGAAATATTATTCGAGTGATTTATTCCTAAAACGTAAAATGTAAATATAAACAATTTTGTCAGATCAGAATTTGATATGGACATATTTTCAAATTTGAAATAGTGAGTGAAAATACAAATAAAGAAAAAAAAAAGTTAATTGTAATTATATGGTGAACATATACAATGTACTTGCCGTATATTTCAGATTTTGGGGCAAAGAAACTCTAGAGAGCATTCTTAAACCGTAAGATGTCGCCTTGAGCATGAGACCGTGACAAATGCCGCGGCAGGTTATGTAAACTAAAGACGGTGTCTTATGACCAAGTTTTTGATGCACGGTTTGCGCCTTCATTTTCGTGCAAATCTGCAGAGTTCCGCGAAAAGGATTGCGGAATTCGCAAGCAAATATGCGCGCAAAAATCCGTTATAATTTGCTTACGGTGGAAACCTTTAGTCCTATTCTATAATTTGTCATGTACAGATCTAGCCTGCTTAGCATTTCCAGTGAGAGCCTGCAGCAGTCTGTGGCATGAACTTAGTAATTTAAAATGTTTGAGCTATTTTCTTTTTTCTTATTATTTATTTTCTTAATTTAGAACAATTTTAATTGTTAAATATTGCAATACAAATGTTTGGATTGTTTCTAATCTTTGGTACGTACGTGTTAATTGTGTGTAATGTGTTTGATTGTGTGTGTGTAAATATGGTATTATGGTATGTGAATATGATGCTTGTCTATAATTTCTTTCAGAGTTAAAATTTGGTAAATTGTAAGAGTAGCAAATGTCAAAAAAATTCCGATTTAAAGCGATTTACTTAAGAACAAACGTGTTGTAACGATCATTTTGGATCGTTATTTCAAAATTGATGTTTTTAGGATAAATATGTTGGAAAGTTTGGAAGTTGGAAAGCAAACTTTAAAATAATACAGTTATGCATTTTTTCTTAAAACTATCCTGAATAACACTAGATGTGTGTGAATGTGAGCTAGTGTGTGTGTCTGTGTTTATCTGTCTGTTCCCCCTCTGGCGGTTTGAAATTGAATTGAACTGTGAATATTAAACTAATGTAAATATAAGGTTAATCCACGAATAGTTCAACTTTGCTCACACAATTTTATACAAGTTTAGTACAGTAATAACCAGAAAAAAAACAGAGATAGGAAGACGACTTTTAACAATATGTTATGTTTTAAAAGGTTCAATAAGCATTATACCACATCAATTGTGTGCATGTGAAACAGACCCATTTCACTAAATTAGTGATTTGATAAGTGTCTAGAAAAACTATTTGCTTTGTAACAACATCAAATACACTTAAGTATTGAGATATGATGTTGTCTATTGTTTTCTGGTTATTACTTTAGTACTAGCAGTAAAGGAAGTTAAAGGGGGGTTGTGCCTAGGTCTAGGTTGGTGAGGAAAAGGGGGTATTCAAATTGGGGGAAAGGGGATAAAGTAGATAATTGATGAATAACATTTTCTTTTCTTAATATAAAAAAATAAAGTATAATATGAGTAACCAGCATTCTATTTTTGAAAATTTAAAAAATCCCCGAAATTATTGTTCTAAAATTTGCGAAATTTTTCGTTTTTTTTGTTTTACAATGTTTTCAAAGAGAATATATTCAAAATTAAAATAGATGTGCGTGAAGCGCCCCAAAGCCTAGCGTTTAAAATATACTTTGCTTGTCTTGGCTTGTTTGTCAAAATGGCTGAACCGATTGGGCCCAACATTTTTTGGGACTTCAAATTATCCCAGGGAAGGTTTATGGATGCCCAGAATTTCAAGAATTTGTCTTAAAAAAAAATTTGGTAAAATTCTGAAATTCCACGAAAAAAATATGATGAAATCCGCGAACTTTTTTGTTTTTGTTTTATATTGTACAAAGAGAAAATTCCCACAGATAGAGCCACAGTTTAAGGTTGAAATAGAAGATTCGCGCGAATCGCCCTAAAAGCCTTGTATATAATATCTGCAAAGATGTCTTTAATTTACTTGAACTAATTGGGAGCTTGGTGTTTGCTCAATGATAAGATTAATATTTAGGCTTGTATAACAACAACCTGTGTTTACTTACTTTTCTGTTTTTAATCAAACATCAATTCAACATTTATCACAAAACAAATCTTCTCATTTTTTTTCGCGAAAAAGAATTTTAGACAAGATTGGAAAAAAGATTGAAAGATTGGTGAAAAGAAAATTTTAAAGATATTTAGAAATTGGTGTACACGAAACAATTGAACCTTTTTGTCAATTAATTCTTTGATTTTTTTCATTTCTGGCTTGAAACAAATAATATTAAATATTGTAACTACCAACTTTAAATTTAGAATAAGGTTTTTATCAATTACTAAATTAATAGAGCAATTTAGTTAACTTAAATCAAATTAAATTCCTTGAGATTTACAGTAAACAATTTTTTTATGCTCTCACATTAGTAGAACAATAAGCAATAAGCAATAAGCATACAAGATAAGAATTATGACCGGGTATATAAAGAATGTGGACCTTAGAACTTTAGTAATCATGATAAAAGTCTTACTTTTGGCTGGCATCCTGACATTTGCATCTGGTAAACTATTTTTTTATTTATTTGTATAGTGCTTTTATCTGAAGTTCAATGTTACAAAATTGGCGTTTATCAAATCATAAAAAATATTAAATGGGTTAAAAAATGTAAAAATTTCTAGCTAAGCTGGCATCAAGTTTATATTATCCAATATACTTTAATGCAGGTCCAGTTGCCTATACAATATTCATACAATTATTGTAATATTGCCGTTGATTAAAAATGATCTACAAGACAATTGAAGATGCCAAGATTGTTTAGTGATACATAATGACCAAATTTTAAATTTCATTTTAGAGCAAACTTACAGCTGATTAAATTCACAGCACAACTATGGGCATGTAAATCCTCTTCTGGTGCTAAAATGGTCCGAGATGGAATATTTTATGTTAGACATCCTTAATTCCATTTGCTTAGTTAGATATCCATTGCCAACCCTTCTGATTTTCTGGTTAATCCTCACTTTTGGATATCCCTGCTGGGTTCTGACTACTGTAGGTGTTCTCATCGATTGCGATCAAAAATTTCCCAGCTTCTGATTGGCAGTTCAGTTTCTGCTAACAACACTCTGATCGACTGGATTTGAGACACTTTGGATATCAAAAGAATATTTTAACAAAAAGAGGAGATCAAGTATTGAGCGTGATATCCACTTTTCAAAGAGTTTCCAGCTCTAAATTAAATTTTTACTTGTTTAATATTCTGGGTCAAATATCACTAGAAAATAATTGTTCACAATCAAATATGCTCTTTACAGGGGCTCCCAGTGCAAAGAAGCTGTTAGAAACTTCTCGTTCAGCAACCCTGCGCAGAGCTGGAGGTAGGATTGTTGGAGGAGAGGATGCTACCTATGGAGAGTTCCCTCATCAGATTGAACTTCAAGTGTTTGGTGCCTTGATGTGCGGGGGTTCCCTAGTAGCAGACAAATGGGTTGTAACAGCTGGTCACTGTTGTGATGGGTGAGACGCATTTTAATGCTTAAAGTTCAATACTATTCATATCAAACTTTATCTAACCAGGATATATATTTATTTAGAGCTTTTGCAGATATACTGAGGGTACTTGTAGGAAGTCACCACCGTACTGAAATTGATGAAGACCAGGACTCAATTCCTGTAAACAGTTTGATTTTACATGAAAATTATGACAGCTATACTGTTGAAAATGACATATGCTTACTCGAACTTGGTGAAAAGGTAATAATGGGCGAGCATGTTGGTATAATTGCACTACCTGATCCCATGGAGGAGTACGAGGCTGGAACTATGTGTACAGTTACTGGATGGGGTGCTCTATCTGAAGGAGGATCACTAGGTGATACTCTTCAAAAGGTTGATGTTCCTGTTGTCTCTGATGAAGACTGTCGTGCAGCATATGGTCAGGCTGATGTTGCAGATTCTATGATATGCGCAGGATTTGATCAGGGTGGAAAAGACTCATGTCAGGTAATACCTAAAAAACTGCAGAAGCCCAAAGAAATTACGTGCGCATGCCGCATCGAATTATAAGACAGAGAGAGAGCCTGTTCTAGCCGCGGCGCTCAGCCCCCTTCCGTGTCCTAGTTGCAGCACTCGGTCCAGAAAGTGTCTTAATCATCCCTAACCCTAAAATATATACTAATCTTGTAATTCAACGCGGAAAGTGCACTTAACTTCCTTGGGCAAAATTTTTTTTAAAAATCTATTTAGGTGTCGATTTTTTTAAATTTTATGTTTCAGGGAGATTCAGGTGGCCCATTTATGTGCGGAGCACAACTGTCCGGAATTGTATCCTGGGGATATGGATGTGCTCAGGCCGGATATCCTGGAGTATACACTCAGACCAGCTACTTCATTGACTGGCTGAACACAAACATGGCTTAGATTCTGTTTGAAATATATGAGCTAGCCATTATTTAAAAAACTTCTTTTAGAGTTTTACACTAATATAGCTAATATTTTTTTTTTTAATTTCTTGGCTTTAAAGAAAAAGTAATTTAAAGAATGTCTTTTTTTTAAATGCAAGGGTTGGGATAGGAAGATCCACTACTGGTTGGTGTTAAATTATTTGTTTAAAAAGCTTACAACATTTTGTTTTATCCAAGGTATAGTTCTTCATTTAACATCTTACAAAAGCACCTGTTAAATGAATATGAAAAAAGTCTAAATTGCCATTTTTTAAACAGTCCCTAAACACCCAAACCATTAGAGTAAACAGACAATTTTTTTATATACTGGCCTTGAAAAATTGGGCTATGAATATATGTTGCAACTCAATACCTTTAATCTATCTAGGAAGGGGGGAGATGCGTCCTCAGTCTGTCTATAAATAGATTTAGACTGTGACGGAGGAGAGTACCAATTGAAACTTGTGAGCAAATAGCTGGTGCAGGGGGGAGTAGCCCCCCGTAATTTTTTTTTACGGAATTAGCATTGAGAGTGAGTGTTTTAAGTGCTCAAAATAGCAAATTACTCCTAAAACTTGTAAAAATATTGCCACCTTAGAACTGTACTTTCACAATTTTCACTCAGGTATCATAGGCAAGAAAAATATTGACATATACAAGGTATTAGCAAGTAAGTTAGGTGGAGAACATCTCATTATAGAAAACAAACTTTTATCAAATACTATCATTTAGGGGTGTGCAAGTTAGGTGGAGGACATCTCATTATAGAAAACAAACTCTTTTATCAAATACTATCATTTAGGGGTGTGCAAGTACAAGTGCATATACAAGGTAGCAAGTAAGTTAGGTGGAGGACATCTCATTATAGAAAACAAACTCTTTTATCAAATACTATCATTTAGACAAGTTTGTGAAATTTTTCTGAAATCATTTTACAGAAGCAAAAATTGTATTCTATAGGAATTTTAAGGCATAATTTTAAAATGCATTTTTTACAAAAATGAAAAATTGGCTTAATCAAAGATAAAATATGTAAAAAAATCACTAGTATAAGTGAAATCAACTTCTTAAAAGCATTTTGATAAAAGTATCAATAAAATCTACATGAAAATCGGAGTTCAAAAATATTAAAAATTTGGCAAGATTTGTTCAAAAAAACGCTTTTTCTAAATTAAATTTTTTTTTTGCTTTAAATCGGTCAGTTTTTTAATGTTTTTATATTCTGTAAATTTGTTTTTAATTCGGGAAAACAACCCTGTTTCAAAAATACCCATGGAAAGAATATTTGTTTAGAATTTTCATTTTTATTAGTGTTTTTTTTTGCATTTTTTATCATCTCAGGGAGCAATTTTTAATTTTTGAAAAATTTGCATTTTTATAACCTGACAATTTACCAAGTACACTTTAGTTCATTTTATGTACCGAGTAAAATTTCAACTAGCTAGAGCTAGCTCTACTGATACAAATACAGACTATAGAAGGAAAAACAGGACAGCTAGTATATTATACAGGGTGTCCCAAAAAAACATGGGAATTCAGTGACGAATTCGATATCACCTTTGCTATGAATTAGTATTCTAATACCTAATTTCAAAACTCATAATATAATTTTGTCTGCTAGAGTTTAATTTATGAAAAGGGTAAATGGCTGAGATGGGTCAATAATGTATTCGGAAGATGAACAGTGAAGACGGACAAGTTTACACTGTTTGTATACTGCAATTTTTCTAAATACAACCGTTTGCAGTTTAAACATAAACAAACAAAATGTAAACATAGCAGACGAAACTCTTACAAATAACAGCTTTCTTAGTAGGTATCACCTTACTAAATCAAAGAGAAAAGACGGTATCGAATTTGTCACTGAATTCCTCTGTTTATTGGGACACCCTGTATGAATGATCTCCTTCTATTAAAATGTCTGTGAATTAGAATTCCAATAGAAAAGATTTTTCTTCTGTGAAAATGATTTCTGAAAAATGTCACAAAATTTCATACCCCTATATCGTTTTGGTGTAGATGTAATGTTACCAAAAACTATAATGTGTTTCAATGCTGAAATCATATTAAACTTAAGTTTTAAGTAGTAGAGAATCATATTCAATTACTAACAGCGTTGATTAACACTTAAAATATATCAGATTGATGAAAATTACAACTATTATGATATATCAATGAATGACGAAATGTTTTGTCAAAGCAACTTAAAGTATCTGGTCGAAAACAGTAAATCAGTTAACTTTAAAGTTAATCCCTAGAAAAGAGGGGGGTCAAAACTTCTACCCCTTGACCCCCCCTGTATCTGCCCCTCCCCCGGCCTTTATAGGATTAACACCCGATTAACCAAAATAACCCATGCTGCAAATTAAAATGACAAAATCTTCATGCTAAGGGCAAAAAATAATTTCAAGTTTTGAAAATGAGAAGTATAAATAAAATGGCGAAATAAATTGATAAGGGAACATATCTTTTTCCTAATTTTTATTCAAATGACTTTTAACAGAATACTTTTGAAATGATAAAGTTTGATTAAATAACATTCAAATAATTCTTTGATTGATCTGCTATTATAACAACTTACATGCTTTGACTTACCAGGAACTTCTCTCCATGGAACTTCTCTCCATGAAAACTAGTTCACCCAGTTTCTTGAGCTGAAAAAAGTGGTTCTATTTAATCTATGTAGTTCAACTACTTCTCATATTTATTAATCCTGGGACCAGGTCTTGAGAATTCCTGGAAAATATTTGGAAAATTAGTTATTTTTGTATGTTCCAATGAATGAGCTTCAAAAGTAATATTACAAGAATAAAAAAGAGCCGATTTATAATAATTTTGCTAGATTAAAACTGATGAGAGTCCATAGAAAATATGTAAGAATGTTTCTCAATCATATTTTGTATGGATTTCTTGAAGAACAGTGTGAATGGAGAAATGGTACCAGCGTTGTGAATTTATTAAAGCAAATCTCTAAACTCTTTTTAGTAAAAAATGCTTATAAATTGGGAAATCATTATTCAATATACAGTTTGACAATTTTGGAAGTGTAAAAAATAAAGGGATAAAAAACCTCGAAGAAATCATCATATTATAGGAAATTGGATTAGTGTATTGTTAGATTTGGAAATTTTCGTTAATTTAACTGACAAATCATATTACAAAGATTTAATGTATAAATTACTGTATGTCTTAAGAGAATGTCAAAGCTTATCACTCAGATAAAAAATTATACAAAATAAAAGATATGGTCATGGCTAACTTTTTATTTTTCAAGTTTGTTTACACTGTACAGATGCACAAGTTATAGACGCAGTAAAGATAAGAATTGCCATATAAAAGTCAGCATAAGATAAAACATCCAGTAATCATGAAGTTCTTTATTCTTGCTGCACTTCTCGCCCTTGCATCTGGTAAGGTTCTGATTAAAATAACATTTTAAGTAAGCTTTTGTCAGAAAAAGTTGTTCACTGCAAATTTTGTAATTTAATGTAATTCTTTGATTAAAAAAACTGGGTGCTTTCATAATGTGTGCCATACCATGAACAGCAATTGATCTATCATCTGAATCAAGGTGCTCCCAGTGCCAAGAAGCTCCTGGGACATTCCAGGTCAGCATCATTGAGAAGGGCTGGAGGTAGGATTGTTGGAGGAGAAGATGCTTCCTACGGAGAGTTTCCTCATCAGATTGAACTTCAATGGTTTGGATCTCTGATGTGCGGAGGTTCTTTGGTAGCAGAGAACTGGGTTGTTACAGCTGGTCACTGCTGTGATGGGTAAGAGATATCAATTTAACCTAAAAAAAAACCTTTGAATAGTCTAACTAAATATTCTCTGCTGCCTGGTTTAAATCCAGAAGCAACTATTGACTTTTCAATTCATTACCTAAATCCTTGAGAATTTTTAACGTTGGATTGGTTTTTCAGAAATTAAACTTGTGGTAGGTAGTTTAATCACTTCTCCTGTCCCTGATCTGTCAATATAAATTTAGATCTGAAGCTGGGGAACTAACAGTTGTAGTTGGAAGCCACATGTTGTATGACGATGATGCTGACCAAGCTTCAATTGATGTCAAGACTGTTGTTCTACATGAGAACTATGACAGCTGGACCATTACCAATGACATCTGTCTCCTTGAACTGGATGGAGCTGTAACTATGGGAGAACATGTTGGAACCATTGCTCTCCCTGCAGCAATGGAGGAATATGATGCTGGAACTATGTGCACTGTCACCGGATGGGGAGCAACCTCCGAAGGTGGAAATCTAGGAGAAATTCTGCAGAAGGTTGATGTCCCCGTTGTATCTGATGAAGACTGCCGTGAATCTTATGGTCAGGATGATGTTGCTGATTCTATGATCTGTGCAGGACTTGATGCTGGTGGCAAGGACTCATGCCAGGTAATGACTTAGAAAAAACCTGTGTGCAATAAATAACTATCATTATTTTTTTCCAGGGAGATTCAGGTGGCCCATTCATGTGCGGAGCACAACTGTCCGGAATTGTATCCTGGGGATATGGATGTGCTGAGGCCGGATATCCTGGAGTATACACTCAGACCAGCTACTTCATTGACTGGCTGAACACAAACATGGCTTAGACAATTTGAATTTGATAAAATAAGTAATACACGATTTTATGTCTATTTAAAATTGTTAATCTTTTTGAAACGTTGTCAGTTCTAACTAGTTTGCACCAAGAGACAATTATTGGGTTTGCATTAGAAAGCCGAGAGCTTTTTAATTAAATTCACAGAAATATAGTCCTAGTTTGAATGACCGTGATAAAACAAAAAAAAAATCTTTCCAGTAACATAATTTAAGATTGCATAAAATAAAAGAATTTTACTTTCAGCCACATACATTGCACTGGAAGAGGATCTTACATTTGGCGTACCGTCCCGGTTTGCTATACATTTTCTGTAAGTGTACTGTACAGCTTGCTCTAGCTGTGTTAAAGTCTTCCTGGTACTTGAAATAAACCGGAGTTTACAAACAGGTTCTAGAAATGTCCAATAACTCAGAATTAAAAAAATTAAAATGGCTTTTCCATATTTCTGCACACTAAAATCCATTATTTCCTCGGTATGACAGGAGTAAAGAAATGGAGCCCTGACAAAATGAATCAATACTCTGTATGAGAAACTGCTATATTTAGAGAATTGACCATGTTCCTACAATTATTCTATTCCTGGGAAAGAAAAGTTTTAATAAGACAAATCCCTTGAGGAAACCTGTAAACAGAACCAAATATAAATAATCGTAAATAGATTAAAGCTGATAGAGATAAAACTGTTGGCTTCTCATTACTTCTCACTAATTAGTTCACTTGAAACACCAGAAAAGAAAGCAATTATTTTGATTTCAATGCCGAGAAGGCGGCATGATTTAGAGCTAGATGGATAAAACCGTACATTTTTTTAAAGTATCAAAATTGATTTACACTTTCTAAAATGGTTGTGTTAAAAATGTAACAAAAATAAAATAAAAATAAAAATGCACAAGTTTGATTGCGTATTCCGCAAACTTTTTTTGCGAAATACCGCTGTCTATGAAAAATTAATTTTGCGGAAGCAAGGGCAAACAATGCGCAATTCCAAGCAAAAAATATTTGGCGCGAAATATATTTACCGCGGAATTCCGATTTTTTCTTCATAAGGAATACGCAAAAATGCGGAATTTGCGGGGGGGGGGCAAATAAGTGTACAAAATGTGGAATTTGCGTACAACGGTTTTCCTATTCCGATGAAAATAGATTTTTCTTTAGTTTTCATTTTCATCATGCTCTTCTCAGTTTTTATGTTGAAAAGAGAAAGAAACTGGAAATTTGTTTTGGTAAAAATTTAAGTTGAAGAAAATGTTTAAAATATTAAAATGCGGAATTATTTATTTAAAACTTTGTTTAATCCCAAGTCAAAACTTTAAATAAGTTTCATTTGTCACTCCCTTCCTGCCTGAGCTTGTTTAGACTTGTATATTTTAAAGGCATTAATAATCAGTGACAACTCTTTTTATAATACTATGCTTGGAAAAACAATAATTTCATAATAAGCCGTTCAAAAAGTGTTTTAGAGTTTAAACGATGTTCGTGAATCTCGAGTTTGATGAATAGGAGAACAATTAGCTTTGCTGATTTATTATTATATTTTCTTTCTTACAATAAAGAAAATACCAAACATCAAATGTCTCAATATTTGCTGCATAAAACAGATATATCCAAACTGAACTAAAAGTTTGCATAAATTAAAAAGACTGGGTCGACTTTCAAGTGTTGCAACGCCTTGGCCTGTGATTTACCTCCATAACTTACAAAACTTTTTATGTAGCCCTATATACGTGCTATATACATTTTAGAAATATATATAGCACTTGACTTTAGCTTAGTTGAAAAAAAGTAATTGGAAAAATTATAATCAATCTTTTTTTGTGTGAGAAATCAAAATGAAGCAACACGTGCTTGTTGTATTGATAAAAAAAGAAATATTTGTCAACTTTTTTCTAGTTTTGGGCGTTCATATCATTTTCTTTTCTATCTATTTAAAAGTGTTGTCTTGTTTTCCTATTTGTCTGCATCCCATAAACGTAAAATGGTTTAACCGATCCTTAACTGATCCTCAACCGATCTTGAGCTGATCCTTTACCGATCCTTAACCGATCTATAACCGATCGAGCCAAATTTCTTGTGTAAATTAACATGACCCCGATCTGGGTTTATGAACGGTTAAAAGTGAAAAGTTGTCGGGGAAAAAAATGTCAGTTTATAAAATTTCAGAAATTTTAACAGAAAAATTCACAACATTTTGAGTTTCACAATAACAAAGAAAAACGAGCAGCCTAAAAGTCATCAAGTGCTTAAAGCAATGAGTGAAACGCTTAAAAATCCTAGAATTATCTAAAATCTTAAAATATAAGAATATAGATATCAATGTGAGGGGAAAGATCTCCTGTTCTAGTTCTTTCTTTAAATACTAGAGAGAGCCTGGGGCAATCTTTTATAATCTATTTAATTATGAAACCTGGTTCCAGCTTCATTTTAACACAATTTATACCAGTCCTTTTTAATTTCTCTCTTTTTTCTCTTTAAAATTGCCAAACAAAATTCGTTGGAATATTAATTTCTGTTAAAAAGCATTTTTGTTACAGTACAAAAAGATTTTTTTTTCAATTTTCCTGCAAACCAAGTAACGTTAATTCATAACGTTAGGGGTAACGCTACTAATAATGGTAACGGTACAGAATGTTAGAAAACGTAAAATAACGTGATTTGTTAACGTTAAATAACGTTATTTGATAATGTTAAATAACATTATTCATTAACGTTAAATAACGTCATTTTAGTAACGTTACTTGTAGGTTTATTTTTACGTAACAGAAAGTCTGGGACTTAATATTCACGAAACCTCAACTGTATTAAATGCATTTTAAAGCGAGAATTTAAAAATATTTAATAATTTTTTAAAGAATTGATATAAGAAAAATTCAATACAAACATTTTGGTAAATAAAATGTTTTAAAATTCCTGTCATTTGGAGTAAATTGATGTTTTCATTAGAATCAATGTCAGCAAATTCTCGATTTTTTTATAAATAGAAGTTCCACTTAGTCAGTCCTGTAACAGGTATAAATAAAGTAGAGCAGATATTTAATATGTAATTGTTGAAGTTATAGACAAATTGTATGCATGAGTGTCGATTTAGATGATTACAGATGAAGGAATGAAGATGGGATGAATTTGTGTAGAAGAATACTGGGCATGGGTGGAATTGAAATTAATTGATATAAATGGATTTAAGAAATTTGTGGAATTAGTTGTATGGATTTAAAGGAACATTGTGCTCGCAATCATCAAGTTTTCAACATTTTGGTTTAAGAATTTGAATATTCCTTAAGATTTACGTTGGATAACGATAAATATATATATTAATTAACATTAATTAACGTTATTTAACGTTGAATGCAACGTTAGATAATGTAACATAATATTGTAAATTCAACATTAAAGTGGGTTTGTTTTCACGTTATAAAATAGTTACGTTAGTGAATGAGTCCTGAAAGGATTGTTATCTAACGTTTTGAGAACGTTTTTTGGCTTATTGGGATATGGAAAACGTAGTTTTTCAGCTAGGTAGATAATAGATAAATAGATAGATAAAAAGATAGATGGGGGGGGGGGGGGTGGGGTGTCATGGCCCAAAGGACTAAAAGAGGAAATGACTTGATTGCTAATTTGTAAGATTTGAGTAACTTACTGATTAAGTTTTCTAGGATTTTATATTTAATTAGAATCTTGGAGGTTAGTAGATCTCACTATTCTTATCTATCTATCTTTCTATATATCTATCTATCTAGCTATCTATTAATCTATTTATTTATCTTTCTATATATCTATCTATCTATCTATCCGTCGATCAATATATTAAGTTTCTAACTAAAACTATTTCATGTCTGAAGACCTATAGGGTAAGACAGGGCAGTGACAAAAGCTTCACAAATAGCAGTACAAAACATTAAACTCTTATACAGGGAATTATATTTACTGGAAGATTTTAAAAATAAATATGGTTTTAATTCTGGTATCCAACATGTTTGAGAATAATATTTTGCAGAAAATAACTGGTGTGCATATATCAAAATGGCTGTGTTTGCATGCATAGATAATTTTTGTTGCCTTATGCCTATGCTGGAAAAAATTGAATTTTTGATTGAAAACTTATAAGATTTCAATCAAACGAGAAAAATTTTTATTTTGCGCTGCGTGCGTGATTTACATTTATAAACCTTTGCAAAACCTTGATCTAAGGATGCATGTCGAAATTGGTGTTCTTTTGTGTACAAAAATAATGTGAACCTTTATCATATGTAATAAATAATGTGAACATTCATGTTGTGAATCAGACAGGCAGATTTTTAAAGTACTATAGCGCGCAAGTTTAAGTGCTCTTCCATGCTAAGAGACATTGCGGATTGCCCGATTTACAACAGTTTTATTTAAAACTTTATTCTCATTTTTACATGCAGAAGATATCCACCGTTTTTCTTGCTCAAATAGTGCTTAAGATAATTTTTCCATTATTTTTTAAAAGCAAGAAATGCGCGCGTTACTTTTGCAGAGAAACAAGGAATGAAAACAAAAACGTGACATTTTAGATCATGATCTTGATCAGACAACGACAAGTATACGATTGATACAATGCCATCTTTTTATACATGGGGGTCCCTTGAAATTAAGCTGTTCCGGTAAGGAAAATTATAATTTTTACTTTTTTTTTTCAAAATTAATGTTAATTGAGAATATTTCGTATGCATTTCAGTCAAAAATTATTAGGTACATTTTTTTGTTCTTTGCTGTAAACTTGAGACATGTATAGGATCTATACATTTAAATTAATAATTTTCGTTTGGTAATTTTTATCATGTATGCACCCCTAGACCAATTTGCCTCAAAATTTGACTAAGGAACTTGGTGGAACCACGAGATAATTTTAAAAGGCCTATTTTGTATCTGCTGACTTTGAAAGGTAACACTTAGTTTCCAGTCAAAGCTGGGTTCACACGCTACATAGATGTAATATGTTCTAATGAGTTCTTAATTGGTTGCTTAATGACTGACAACTGAATATATCCATATATATAACTGAATATGATAAAAATATATAAATATATATGATATTAGAGAAGGTTGAGTATGCCATGCTTCAGCTCTTAACTCATGTAAATATATCAATATAAGGGGAATTATTCTCCTCGCCGCTTCCAGAATTATTAATATATCAACATGTTTTGTCAGTCTGTCAGTTTGTCAGTTCGTTAGTTTGTCTGTCAGTTTGTAAGTCAGTCACTCAGTTTTTAGTCAG